GACTTTCTTTCTTAAAAGATAGCTATACATCTTGCAGACCTGCCTTTGGATTAAACTACACATTACCAGAGAGTTATAGAATAAGAATTCCTCGTTGGTTTTCTTGGCAGAGGGCTGCAGAAGAATATTTGTACTGTAAGCAGAGGGATCTAAGTTGATACCTGCCATTCATTGCTTTGTGCAGCTGCAGTTCTACTGGGGTGCCAGTAAGTCCCTAAATTCTTCCCCATCCTACTCTGAATTGGCACTAGATTTTTTTCACCCATCTAGCTGAGGAGCTTTTTGGGAAGTGGGAGAAAGAAGGAGGTTGGAATCTCCAGGCAGCTCCCCTCCCTGCTGCCCAAACGTCCCACTTTTACCCCCTGTGAGGTCACTTCCCTAATCTGAGCAGCCAGTATGGTTCTTACTGTGCGAGCTATGGGGGACACTGTGGGGGATTGGAACTTTAGTTCTCAGGTTCATAGTGTACCCCCTCAGAAAATTCCCAGGAGCTACAGAATTGTTCCCTCCTTGTGTTAAATACAACTTCTCAACACTTCTCTATAATAATAATTTATAGGACAATAATTTTTATTGTTTAAAATGCTGAAAAAGACAAATAGATTATTGGTATCAACATTAAATACATTACTAATATAAGCAAATATTTAAAAGTTAGGTTGAAGGGATTAAAGAGTATTTTTAAGAAGCTGAATAAGAGAAAATAATGTATATGATTAGACATTAAAAATGATTCCATTTATTTTATATGGACTGCATTTACAAATATCTGTATATGTTTCCTTAAAGCTTTAATAATAAGTTTACTTACAAGAATGTCCATCCAAAATAGTTCTTACATATTCCTAACGCATAGCAATGCAAATCTGATTGCAAATTATAGTTTTATGTCTTTTCTATCTTGTGTATAAATAATGCCTTTTTTTCCTATACTTTTGAGGCTTCCCATTCCAAATGAACATTGTTTCTGCCATGTTTCGAGAAAAGCACCCTCAGCTTCATATGCAAGAAGAATGTTTGTAAATGTCTGGGAAAGTAAACTCTGTGTAGGAATATCTTTTGTTGACCATGAGATGGAGAGAGGAAACCATGCCTTTGTGGCTTCACTTGTTAATATATTGTAGTCATAACTTTTCCTAGGTAAGTTAAATACATGCCACTGCATTCACTGTGATATATATGCCCTCTTGTGAGTGTGCAGAAGAATGCAGCTTTAACTTTAGAATTTATATTTACATAAGCTTTGTGTTTTCATAGTAGGTAGTATTGCTGAATTATTTAGAGATAAGGCAAGAGAAAAGGGGAGGAGGTGAGCAGGAGAGAATCGGACCTTTTAATATGATGTAGTTAAATATATTAGTGAATAGATACTGTCTTGACACACATGTTCCTTGAATCCTTCCAATTATGGTTAAGTTTATAGAGCTGTGGGGTCACAACATGCTTTCTTCATAGAAGGAAAGCCTTCTGTCCTCTTCCAATGCTTATTTATAGAGAGACTTACGGAAACTACTAGGACTCTTCCAGAAGATTTAACAGTGCTGTTTGATGCACACATTCAGTTCTTCCTAAGAATCTTAAAAACATGTCTGAAACCACGGCCAATTGTTTTACTAGAATAGCTAAACAGATATTTAGATATTTATATTTGAATTATGTAAATTACAGCTATCATTCTTTCAGCTTTATATACAAATCTGGAAATAAAACATGCTTTCTTACAGAATCACCGATTAGAGAAAAAAATTGGCAAGACTTGTTGAGATGAGCTAGATTAGAAAAACAAATGGGTTAAAAGGAAAACCGAAAGGTATGCTTATTGTGTGAGTCCCTACTGTTATCTTTATGCCGTATTCCATTCTATAAAGACTGTGGCTATAGATCATTCTTCCCCAACCTGCCTTCCTGCAGATAGTTTGGACACCTCCTCCCACAGTGCCCCAACCAGCACGTGACGTAGGTCTTGCTGTATCCTATGTTTGCCGTACCTTGTGTCTGGTGAACTACCCTGTCATGTTTTTCCACACAGCCATGCAGACCAGGGCATTGTGGGAACTGAGGTCCAACCCTGGAAATTGGGAAAGCCCTGTAGCTCAGTATGGCTGCCTTTTATGAAAAACAATGTTACAGGTCACAGGGCAGTATTCTGAGCTGCCCATATGTTAATGGCATTTAGTGCTCTTGTGACAAGAGGCTAGCAATTCCTGAATCACCCAAAATATGTGGAAATGCTTGTTTCTGAAATCAGCAGGTTGCACTAGATGCTCTCTGCATATTGTGTGGCTCAATTTTCAGCAGCCATCTAATCATGTTTAACTGCAGAAAAACAGCATGCTCTGGTTCATTCTCAAGAAGACAAAGAAAGTTAGGTAGCAGTAGCAAAAAGGAGCCATCACTGATAAGGCCCTGATCTTTAATTGCTACTCTCCAAATCTGAGATGATGGGGACACTCTGAACCAGCAGCTGTTATGTGCCCAGAAACATGGTATTCTTCTTGACAGTTTCTTATTTTTTAGATTTGTTTGAAGGCCACCCATTAGCACTGTGCTGCCCCTTATACAAATGTTCTTCCAAAACAGAATTGCAATAAGCTGCCATCTATCAGTTTAAATCTCCTGATAAATTTTAGTCTATTCAAGAGTTTGGAAAGTTCTAAGCATTTCTGACAAGAACCTTTTCCTTCAGTTCAGCTTCAGGGAGCAGGAAGAAAAGAACACCAGATGAAACAGGATTAACAAATTCTTGTGAAATATAAGAGCACAAGGAGAAGTTTAACTGCACTTTTGCACATAGGGAAGGTTTAATGAGAGTTAACTTATTTACAGTAACAGCCAAATGTCCAGATATAGGGTAGTATAATCTTGTGTAACATAATACAATAGGGAAAGTGGCAGTTTGCCACCAAAATTCAGTGGTGCATCAGCTAAAAGGGCAGTTTTCATTCTGAAGGGAATAAAGGCACTTTCTGTTGACTCACTGCAGGATTTTGGTAGCAAACTGCCTCTTTTTCCGTGTTGTACTAAATACACTGTAAGTGTTGTGAGCAGGTCTTTCCCTCCCTCTTTTCTACTCTAGAAAACTCAGATGAAACTTTACAAGCACAATCTTTTTATTTAAGCTTAAGTTTCCAAAATAGTATATATCAATGCAGCATTCTCTGAATTGTAAGAGAAGCATCTGCCCATGTAAAGAGTTGAATCTGAATTGAAATCCCTATCTTTCCAAAAGGATTCTTAATCTCCTTCCCAAGTCAGGCTGGCCTTCACACTGTCTGAGACTCTTCATCAGGTAACCTTGAAACTGCAAAGTTATCTGCAGATCTCTGTCCCTCTGCTGCCTCCTCAGAATTGGGCAAATCTAACTGAGCTAAATGTGCTGGAGCTGGGCCTCGCTCTTCAGTAAGTGATTCTTTATGCTTGCACAACATAATTGGTGGTACGATTGGGACAATGTTGGATACTGTCCACAAGTTTGGATCTAGAATATGCCTTCAGCAGATGGCGGAATTCCTTCAACCCTCAGATGGCTTCTGGTCTAATAGGGAATCTGCTGATGCAATGGGAAGGAACCATTTTTTGTTAACTTTCCTCTCCACCTCCCTGTGCCCAATAGTCTGCATTGGCACAACCTCATCTTCCACCTGGAGCACACACACTGCCTGCCATTGCCTGTTCCCACTCCCACCTGCCATGTCCACCTGTACCCTCTTGCTACATCTATCTGCCCCCAGAACCTACTGGAACAATGTGGGGAGTGGGAAAATATCCTAGATATGGCACATTAAGAATAAATTTATCATGATGGAAAGGAAAAAAAAGCAAGGGAAAACAGGAACCATAGAGTTCCAGACTGATGTGGATGTACTGAACTACATGCTTCAATAGAATATTTGGTTTCGGAGCATATGCAGGGCTTGCTGTAGAGAGGATAGTCTGAGAGAGTGCATCTTTGGACTCATGTTTCTAGGAAGAGCCAAGGTGAGGCTCTTGCCACACATATTGGTGGGAATCTGATTTCAGAAAAAAAAAAGTATTAACTTGATCTGTGTGCACCATGTGCGTGTCTAGCCTATTCTTGAGGGTGTTCAAAGATAGGCTAGACATGCTCATGGTAGGCAGGTCATGAGCGGAGCCAGCTAGAGCCGGGGGGGGGGGGGGGGTCAGACCAGATGGCCTGGGAGGCCCCTTCTGACTCGCTCCGTTTCTATGTTTCTATGATCGTTATGTCCAGTTATATGAGACGATATATAGTATCAGTGGTTAGATTCACTTCCCTTACAAATGGAATGCTTTTGTGTTATTTGTTCTAATTTTTAAAGCAAAGGTTAAAAGTGTTTCTTAGGACCTTTGAAAAGGAAATTAGCCATCTCCTCGCAAAAAGGAGGCTATCACAGTGTTGCCACCCCGCCCCACAACGTTTGTATTCAGCGCCGACTCCATATATCTGCAAACGTGTGCTTCACACTCGAGCCACTTCTCTTTTCAAGGAGAATCAGCTGATTGTAGAGGAGAGACGATCAAAGAGTTGACGCAATCTCTTGTCCTTACCCCCCGCCCTGCAGTAGAAATCGAAAAAGAGCGAAGGAGAGGAACCCGGCCTTGTAGTTGGGAGCGCGCGCCAATTTTCTCTGCCCGCCAAATACTGTACAAACATTTTTTTTAAAGGTTGCAATTTTGCCTTTATCGTGCGGCCGGATGACCTTCCCTCCACTACTTCTCGGGCAGCCTCCCAGAACTGTTAGGCAGGCTTTGAGTCCGAAGCTCCCTACCTCAGCCAGGAAACCTCCAGTGTGGTGCAAAGAAGGGTGCAAACCCGAGAAGGCAGTGGCTGCAGCGACCTCCTCTCACTTGTCAATCCTCTAAGCGCTGCCCAGAGGCGTCATCTGGGTGGCTGCAGCATGGAGGCGCGGGGATTGCTCGGGCACGCGCTGCGCTTCTGTGCAGCGGGGCCCTTTGCTCCAAGCGTTTCCCGGCAAGGAGCTTCCTTCGAGGCGCCTTCACGACGAAGGCGCTCCTGAGCATACGCAAAGCGCCTTCCCCCCTTCGCATGCTTGTTTAAGAAGTCACTCTCGCCCGCTTATACAGTACTCAGGGGCTGGCGGACAGGGCACTCTCTTTCAACGCCATTGAGGACAGGGGAGGAAACGGCTTTGGGCAGGGGCGGCCCGTCTCCTTCTTTGGCAGTGCGTCGGGTGTCAGTCCTGGAGCGCCGCTGTCGCGGCAGCCGCTGCCTGTGAGGGGAGCCCCTGAAGGCGAGCGGCAGAAGCACCCGGCGCGGCGGCGGTGGGTCTCTGGTGGCGCAGCTCGGCATGGCCCAGGCCAAGATTAGCAGCGTCAAGAGCGGCTCCGGGGGCTGCGAGCCAGTCCAACAAGCGGGCGGCGGTCAACAGCTCCGAGGCCGTTTCTTCCGCTCCACCTCCATGGCGGACCGCTCCAGCCGCCTCTTGGAGTGCCTCGACCAGCTGGAGCGGAGGTAACCGAGCAGGGAGGACGAGGCAGCGTGGCCAGGGAGGAGTCGGTCGGTCGGTCGGTCGGTCGCGGCCGTGTGGCTGAGGGGCGTCTGTGGAAGGAGCGCGCGCGGCTAAGAGCGTTCCCACCCCCATCGAGGGGCTCGGAGGACGGGAGAATCGAGGCGCTTCGCCTAGTGTGTGAATGGCCGTGAGAAAGCCGGCTGCTTTCTTGGGAAGAATGCCCCTTATCATTCTAGACTGTGCTTATTTTGGTGCATTATATTTCTTCTAAATATCTCGTGCGCCTCTTGTCTTTTAAGAACTGCATATTCTTTGCTTGGTAGGGGCGAGAGGTGATCGGGGATGCATGACTTCACTTGCTGGAGACGGGTCAGCCCCTCGCCCCCCGGGCATCTGTTAAAGATACGGCACGAACGCTGCTGGGAGTGGGGTGCAGGGCAGATAAATCTTGACAACTTTTAACGATAATCCTGTAATTAGGATTACTTTTAAATTTACAAAAGGCTCTTCAGGCCGACTGGACACCATCAGCCCTGCTGCTGCCAGCCTTCCTCACTAAGAGAGGCTGCCGTGTTGCCACATGGGGCTTCCAAGAAATGAATGGGAAAACAGTGATTTTTTATTTTTTTGGTAATTCACAGAACCTTTGTTAACCCGAGCACGAGTCACAAACAACGTGAATGAGTGAGAGATTGCTGAATCAGATGCTGCTATCCACTCCCTTTCTCCATGCCTTAACGTGAGCATAGAGCAAGGGTATAGAACCAGAGGCCTAGAGGCCAAATCCAGCCCTCCAAGGTCCCCCAGATGGGCATGCACCCTTTCTTTGACCCCATCCCTTTCCCCTCACCTCCACTTACGGTTTGTCCGGGCTTTTTGTAGTCCTCCCCCATTTAAAAAGGTTGGAATGCCACGCCTAAGGTTTACCTCCGGTCAGTAAGCACTGATTCTAAGCACTTTTGTATCTTTGGGCTTTACCTTTTTACTGGAATGTTAAGAGCATCTCCAGAATGGGATTTCATCCTAGGCTGAAAGAGCTTCAACACATCTGGCACAGACCATACTCAAGAACAACTCAGTAAAGCTTTCTGCACAAGGGGAAAACTAGCATTCCCATTCCCAGAGAGGGAAGCTACAGAGTATCCTTGCACACACAGGTTGAACATACGAAGGTAGGGAGTGGGGCTGAAAGGCACAAGCCTGTTCCTTCTTTATGAATGTTCAGTATTACACTGAAAGGAGAATTAGTGCTCTTGTCACCTGGTTCAAACGTCTGTGTTCATTTTCACAAGGTTGAATGGTGTCAGAAACATAAATATTGAATACAGGCTTTGTTTCAACCTCTGGCATCCCAGAGCAACCAGCAGGACTCATCTGCACTAACACCTATCCTGGAGTTCTACTACCTAATACTCCGCAGGCAGCAATTTAAATTTCCCAGATTCCCTATCAATTGATAAGTCATTGAACACTCCAAGACATTATGAGAAATCAAAGTTCCCAGCCGCTCTTGGAGCATTGCAGTAGGTGCTGCTTCAGCTGCCATCATATCAGGTATTCCCAAGGGGTGCACCAGAGGGCATTTTGGCCAGGGTATCCTCAGCCCTGGTTTTGGGTTCTGGTTGATTAAGAATAGTCATTGTTCAGATACCTTTGCCTAACTATAACAGCACCTTCCTTAAATAATAACTGAAATATTATTTAGCACTCCCTCACTCTTTTTAAATATCTGGCCACATTTAACGTTGTTTATTTCACTTAGGCAGAAGTACAGTGTCTTCCTGAAAAACCCACTGTGTCAGGGGAAACCCGAAAGGGAAGAGATGGGGTGGTTGAGATAGTGCTGTTTGGAGCACTGACATTTCTGTGGGAAGTAGCCACTACCACTTACATACTGTTGGACCCAGATGTACAACTGGGCTGGCAGAAGCAGAATATCTGCCCTTCGCCCTGCAAATACCACAGAGGTGGGAAACCTAGTGAATGGGAAGGGCTGTGGTAGAGCTGGAAAGAGGAGAATTACTGAAAATCAGGCAGAGGCACCATCCATGTGTGAAGCCCTTCCCTTTGAAGGCAGATTCTGGATCCAATCCATATTTAAACCAGACATTTCCTTACAATGGAAGCAAGCTTTTGACCTTTAAAAAGAAGCAGTTCAAAACTTGATGTTAAATCAGTGCTTTCATTGGATGGGTAAACCACTGCTCCCATCCAGGCAACAGCCTTCTTGGATAGCAGAGAGGAAATTGAAATTGATAGGAAGTTATTTGCTTAAAGGTTTCACAAGGGATTCTTAGAGCTGAAATCTGAATCCAGGCCTCTCTGTTCCAAGTCAGCATTGCAGACTGACTATCCATGATAACATCCGATGAAGTGCCTCCTTCTCATGCTGCACACAGAGGCAGTTGGACTTCTAGGGGAAAGGAAGGTTCATTAATCAGTGATGACAGCACTACAGAAGAGGAATGCTGTAGTCATATATCAAAAGGGCCTGGGTGGTATATTTCATTGCAGTGTTCAGACTACTACAGTGCACTATATGCAGGGCTGCCCTTGAAGATAGTTCATAAATCACAGTTGTCATACAAAATAGGACAGCTAGCTTGCTAGCCAACTGCCCTAGTTTCTGGGCTCAAATCAAGCTATTGGTTTTAACCTTTAAACCCTTAAATATTTTAGTCTGAGACCAGGGCACCTTGAGGCTTGCCTTCTCAGACATAAATGCCCGATCACTGAGAGCTTCCTTAGAGGCCCTGCTCAAGCTCCCTTTGCCTGTAGAAGTGAGACAGATGACAGCCTGCTACGAGGCTTTTTTGCTGCAGCATTCCACTCTAGAACCTTCTTCCACTTTAGAAAGGCATAGGTGCTGCTCAGCCTATCATTCTGGCAGTATTTCAGTATTTGTGTGCCTTGTTTTAGACTGGTTCATATAATTCTTGCTTTATAATTGATTGTTTCTAATTTTCCATTACTGTAATTACATTTTGGGTTCATCAGAACACTATTTTTGGACAGGGCAGGTTCTTATCTTCCCAAAACTACTGCATAAGAATTTGTCCTGTGTTGCTTGCTTAGAGATGATTAATACATATACCTTTGACACACCACTTTTGGTCTCTTTGTAAAATTTGTAGCAATATCAGGTGACATGAAAAATTTCTAGTGGTTATTTTGGAGCAGGTGTTTCACATATGCAAATAATTGATATCTCCAGCAGTGAATGTGCCCCCAAGAATGGCCCATAGTAGATGTTGGTGAATTTGAATTTCATTGGCGGCTGGGGCTGCCTAAGGCTTTTTTCTGTCTGTGCAAGAATGAAGAAGAAATTTGCTTTGTGAGTGATGTACACAGGTGCTATGGTGGGAGAGACCTATATATAGTTCTAAACTAGAAGGAACCTGGCCACCCCAGCTGTTATTTCTGAAACCACTTGGAGCCTGGACACCTCTTTTGCTAGCAGGGCCTGGGCTTGAGTTTCTGAGGAAACCCCAGCACAGTCATATTTACTCAGATAGAAGCCCATTGAGTTCAATGGAGTTCTCTGCTAAATGTGCTTCAGATTTCTTCATAAGTGGCCAGGAATATGAGGTCTGGAATGAACACAAACAGCGTATATCCAGACACCTTTTCCTTAGCCTAGGAAACCCAAATATGACTTCAAAATCACCCTTTCTCATCCCTCACAGCTTCAGCCACAGGATCCTCTTGCCTGACAGTGCACACCTCAACCTGGATGTGTTCTTTTCTACGGACAGGAGGAAAGAAACAGGTTGTTTTAAAACTTAACAGAATACCTTTTTATGTTCACAGAGCACCTTTGAGAAACAGAGTAAGACACAACGAAATAAAACCTGGAAGCAATTCAAGAAGAGTAATTATGGATGCTATTTCCCTCTGGCTGTTTGCTTGCTTGTAACAGTAGCCCAATATGCAGGAATTTAGCAGATGAGGTTTTTCTTGCGATGGAGATGCAGAAAAAGGAAAGAATTCATAAAGCTTAATTTTTGCATTGTTGGCTTGCTGTTCAAGCCATTGGGACAGCTGATAAAGGCAAAACAAAAAAACCCTGCCAAAATATAGATTATTAAATAAATAATTAAATTTAAATATCATTAAATATATTTAATTATAAAGTATTTTATAATTATTAAATAGCATTATTGTACTAATATTATTGTACTAGGTACTAGAATAGGATACTCCTCTCTGTTATACTAAAGCTGAAAGAAGTGTGTCACCTTCCCACATATATTCCAAAAAGGAAGCTGGTGAACTTAGAAAACTAGAACTAGCATGTGATGAGCAATCTTACTGCATGCTGAGCTACTCTAAAGGTTGACAGAGGTAAGGTGCTCAGCTGAGATGCAAAATAATTGTCAGGCTGTAGCAGGTTGCCACCAACTTGACTAAATACTCCTCTGAACAAAACCTTCCCTGAGCATAGAAAACTAGGTTTCAGGAAAAGTTCTAGTCTAGTTTCCCGTCTGACATAATTTTCAGTGTTTAAATAATTCTTCTGTATGGCAAGCATTGCACCATGTGAAACCCTCTCTGCAATCTGAAGTGGTGCAAAGCATGGAAACACTGAGTTTTCAAGAGGGTCAAAGCTTTTTCTGTGACTTACGTTCTTTGGAAAAAACACAACAGTAATAATGTATAACATTCTCTTTGCTTCAAAAATAAAACTGCATTCATTGATATAGCACAGCTGTACCACTGGAGCCTCAGAGCTAGTATAATTAGCAGCAAGATAATATTAGTTTTGCTAATTCCAACATAGCAATTATTCCTTTTGGAAGCAGAAAATGATTATTTTATGTATGCTAGTCCTACTGATCAAATTGTATGACATTCTTAGGGAATGTTTAACAAGATATGTGAAGGAAAGAAAAGGCTGTTTGACATGGCTAAGTTAAAAACAACATATTGACATTTAAGGACCTTTCCAAACAGTGTAGAGGCAGGGCCCTGCTAACTGTTTACAGGCAAGAAACAAATATAGCCCCATATTCTAGTACTGTTCCTGACTTATCTTCCCCCAGTGACATTAGGCATTTCAATATAAGCATCTTTGTGTAGGTTCCTGTGGGCAAAAACGTCCTTCTCTTGATCCTTACACTGAAGCAAAGAGGTGAACAGGAGATTATCAGGAATCTCGGGGATCTTTACAATTTACAGCCATATGTTTACCCCTTTACTCATAAATATAAATGTAGCTTTACAAAGTTATGAAGTGACCCTACATAAAGACATGTACACATACAGAATCCCCTAACAAAATATTGTATCGTTTTTATACTTTTTTTGCAGGAGCACACTTGCATACTTGCAATTCTGTAAGTGTAAATAGTTGATAACAATTGAAAATGGCTGCTGCAGGTTTTTAAAAGGTCACTGGAATGTCTCAGAATTAGTTCCAATTTGTCATACTCTTTCACTTTTTGTTTAGTTGTCCTTTCTTCTTCAACAATACCTGGGATACTGCACCCACTTTCTTCTTTTGTGTATATTAATAGGTGGTGAGGAAACTTTTTTTTTTCTTTGTCGCATGAATGCTATTCTAGTTTTACATAACTCAGTCCAAGTTGTCTCATGAAGGGCGAAGCAAGAATCATAACTGGATTTCTTATCTCTTTTTGTATTGGTAAATAAAAGGATCGTCATTTGCTTACAAAGTAAAACTTATGAGTGGTGCAAGGAATTTAGTTTTTCAATTGAAATGTAAAATTATTTTGCGTTGCTAGAAATAAGTAACTTTCAGTTGTTCACTGAAGAACATGACAAATCATATGTGTACTATTTAATGATTTGTCAACACTCTTTTTATTTGTTTTTTCCTCAACACAGGGTTGAAGCTTTGCGTGATGCTGCTTCTTCAATGGAGCAAGAAAAAGAAACTCTTCTGGAAATGATCCACAATATACAAAACAGTCAAGATATGAGAAACATCAGTGAAGGTGAGAATCCAGGGATGCTAAAACATCTCACTTGGAATTCTTAAACCTTCCATTTCCCTCATTTTGGAAAATCAAGAAAGCTGTAGAAAGATAATGAATTCATAAATACATGTAACTCATACTGTAGCATTTATATACAGTGGTACCTTGGCTCAATAACTTAATCCGTTCCAGGACCCTGGTCATGACCCAAATTGGTCATGATTTTTTAAATCAGAAAAATGTGAAGCAAAGTAACAACAAAGATCGCAGCCATCTCCCCCCCACACACACACCAAGCACAAGCGCAGCCATCTCCCCACCCCCCCCAGCACGACCGAGATGGCACCTGTCATCCCTGAACGCACCCGTCATCCTGGCATGCTGGGGGGTGGAGGGGAGAGATGGGCATGATCGCGGGCGCACTGGGAGAGGGAGAGATGGGTGCAAACGGTGTGCTGTGGGTGGGGAGATGGCTGTGATCGCAGTTCCATTCGTGCAGGGAAGGCGTGCCTCATCAGAGTCGTGCTTCTGCAGGAAAGACTGGCAGAATCTTGGCCATCTCGCCTGCGGCTCTGCTTTGCTTCTCCCGTCTTTCCTGCAGCAGTGCGCCTCTGATCACGCACGCCTTCCCTGCAGGAAAGCAACTGGGATCGTGGCCATCTCCCCCCTTAGTGGGGGTGCGATGGCTGCGATCTTGGTCGCCACCCAAAGCAGTGTTCACGACCCAAGTCAAAATTTTTCAGAAATTTTTGTTCATGACCCGATTTGTTCATGAACCAAGGTGTTCGTGAGCCGAGGTACTACTGTACCGGAACACCCCCTTTTCAAATGGCAAGATCCGTCTCATGCCACTTATTTTTTAACAGCTGTCAAGGGAAAGAAAAAGTTGGAATTTCTTTTGAGCAGTGTCTAGGCTTGCTAGCTGCGGCACCTTGGCAGGAGGCACTGCCTGGACACAGCCACAAACAGCCTCTTCAGGGTGTTGCTCCAGGATTTTGAAGGAGCTGTCTGTGACTGTCAAAACGGGGACTGTGGAAGCTACCTGCCAAAGAAAACATAAGGCGGAGGAAGCTGCGGCAACTCCAAAACAATTCATAGCAGAGAGGAGACGGGGAAACTCAGTCCTCCTGTAGCACCCCCCTTGGAATACCTACAGGATAACGAACGGGCAAGAAGGGGGCCAACATCCCCCACTGAGCCTGACTGTATGCTGGGCTTGCCATGGGCTATGTGCATGGCAATCTACCTGCTGTGGTTGATTGCCAGGATGGGTTAACATGATGAGCAAACGTGCCTAGTATCTAATATTAAGGGCTTCTAATATTATTCAAGCCAGAATGGAGCAGTTCACATGCTACAACCACTTTTTGTTTGGTTTTTTTAATGAAAAAAATGTCCTGGGTTGTCATGCACAAGCCAGCATGTGACTCATCAGTTAAACCCTGTGTTTCAGCTGGCTTGTTGAGGAGAGACAAGGCAGAGTCTAAACATGTGAGGGACAGAGCGTCCCTGGGTTATTTAGCTTCTTCCTCTGCCATTAAAGCAATCAAGCTACATGAAGTTAATATGTAAACTTGTTCACAATCCAGGGTTTGCAAAGAAACTCTGGGTTGGTGCAGCATGCAAACCAGGCCAATCTCTTATAAGATTCTCTTCAAGCCCATTAGAAGTTTTATTGCTCTCTAAATTTTCTGAAACGAAGAATAAATTATGCACATATTATTATTAGTTTACCTTAATCTTCCAACTGAGTGTGACAATTTTGTCTCATGCAAAGCTTTAAAACCAAAGTATTTCACCTTGAAAATGCAGGTGAAAGAGAAGAACTCAATCTGACAGCCAAGCGCCTGATGGGCAGAACACTCACAGTTGAGGTGTCTGTAGAAACCATCCGAAATCCCCAGCAGCAGGAGTCCCTGTTACGTGCCACACAAATGATTGATGAGATAGTCAGTAAAACCCTGGATGATTTGGAAGACTCCAAGAGCCGCTTAATGTCACTTTATGGTGCATGTACGTCTGAGGCTCCATCTGGACCCGTTGATCAAAAATTCCAGTCTGTTGTAATTGGATGTGCTATAGAAGATCAGAAGAAAATCAAAAGACGACTAGAGACTTTGCTTAGAAATATAGAAAATGCTGAAAAATCCATCATGCTATTGGAGCACCAGAAGAAAACTGCAAGACAGCTTTGCAACAATGGGAAAGATTAAAATAATTTGAATACTGCTATAAAAATGAATGTTTTTGTACACTAAAGGCAGAGAATACTGCTTTAACATTAAATTTATGGAACTTAGTACAAATCTGATACCTGGAAGTTGAGGAGGCCTTGCCTGTCTGTATAGCCCTTAAATCAGTCCTTAAACATTCAGAGCTACAGCTGGAACATTCTGGAAAATTATCTGTACCTTATTCTGGGCGTAAAGGGTCTCCCTGGTTAGAGCACCAATTAAACATGCTGGGCTAGCTGCAGGGCTAACCAGCTGTGAGAACCACAGAACTATATGAGCATTCAAGCAGTTTTTATTCCATGGCTTTTGATCCCAGCAACAGGCTCAACAGACTATTTTACCCTGCACAAGGAACATGTCCTTAAACTGCTAGGTATACTTAAATTAGTATCATAGCTATAGACTTATTTAAGGTATTGGCTGCAAATGTAGGCATGTCCCAAGGGTTAACCTTTTCATATGCAGCATACAATTTACTCTCATTTAATATTTTAATATTTGTAAAGTAATCTCTTCCTTAGAAACTCTCTAAGCTCAGTAGTACATGTTTTGCTCTAGTCAGTTCTCTAAAAGGCTTCAATCTTGGTTGTAATATACAAAAATTTCACCCAGCACACTTTATTGTCACTTTGGTGAATGAACATGTGTTTGAGAGAGAATGCAGAATGGGGAAATTGCTGCAACAGATGTGAAGAAAATGTTGATGTCCACTTTTTTCTTGCTGAATAGGCGTAAATAAAATATATTGTGCTTTACAGGGTGAACACTTCAGTAGGCCTTCTTTTAAAAAGTGTAACTTTGTACTTAAAGATTTGGAATGAAGTAAGGTATGAGACCTTTACTAAATTATATTTTAGTTGCACTTCCCATATTATTCCACATCCTCAGAAATGAACATTAAGACATACCTAGTAATTCACAATCCCCAATTGCAACATTCATCATACTCACAGTTACAGAAAGTGAAGAAGAAACTCTTGTTTTATTCCCTTTAATATTTTTTTCACACTTATTCAACCCTCTGAAGCAGATTTTCTGGGAGTACAGAGAGGGCCAGTGAAAATTTTCTCCCACGTATCTGTGAACTTTATTCACAAGATCCTTGAATCCAAACCTGTATCTTGCAACAGATGATTGTAAGTTGGCAGATGAGCATCATTTGATACTTCCAGGCTAGAACATATGATTCTGTAAAACATGCAAACTTCTAATGTAACAAAAAAAGAGGGTATGCCTTAGGCTAGGTGTGTTTTGATCAAAAATAGACTGCTGTTCTATACCAGTCTTGGCTAAATTCCCATCCTGAAATTACCCATCTGTGTTTCGGAAAAAAAATCAGGATATTAAGTTAATCACACTTACAGAATTCACCATATCCACGAATGATGCAAACAACAAATCCAATGGAGATTGCAAAACACAACGTGATTTAAATAGAAAGCCCCTCCAACATATTGTTTTAATTCTATTATTGTCTACCTAGTCCTTTCAAATTACTGTTATATATTAATTCTGTATGTAATTCTTACTGTATGTGCCTAATGGTCACTGACTTTCAAAGGGCAGAAATGCAATTTTTAAAATGTTTGATCAAACATTTCAGTAGCACTTAAAGAACCTTCACTTATATTCATTATATGCTTATTTTGTTACATAAATGCTAACAAATTTGGGTGTGGAATGTCCTGATTTAAATACTTTAGGAATCAACTTGTGGTTTTAAGTATATTCCTTATTACCTTAATATAGTATTATATATACACACACACAATCTCTCTTAGCAAAAACCCAGTACTCCCTATACATGTCTACTGGGAACTAAGTCCAGTGGTCAGCAGCGTTGGGAGTTTGAGTCTAAACCACCTGGAGTGCACCAGGTTGCACCAAATTGCATCACAGTACGGCCCAAACAAGCACCTGATTTTTTATTCAGTGTAAACCACTGGGAAGTCATGTCGGACAAGCAGGTCTATTAATTAAACAAACAGTAAATGTTGATGAGCTGCATTCCCTCTGCCTCAAGCACTATGCCAAAGCAAGAGGATCCAATTTAGAGCAGCCATCAGCCAGAGAAGCAGCAGCAGCTTGGAGCTGGCTCCGCTCTTCCCTACCAGAAGGCTGCTGAACTCCCTGTTCCCACAGTTGGGAGAAGCCCGCTGTACAGGACTGCAGCATTTTACAGATTGAATGTTCTGTAAACCAGCCTCTAGGTGTCACCAGACATGCCTTTTAGCAAGTTACAGAGAAAGTAAACAAAGTTCATAGCTCAAGCTTACTTCTCTACCCCCAAATTTATTTAAAATGTTATAGTACTGTGCATCTACATATGCTTTAATTGTTTAGATTAACAGGAGTGCATCCATCACTTTTCCTATAATGGAGTGTAAGAAATTAACCCAATCTCTTCAACCTTAGAGTACTTTGTGAAATATTTGCAGCAATAACAGTAGCAAGCCTACCAGACCCCTCACTGTTGAAAGGAACTGAAGGATGCTACTTTCTAAACTACTTGCCTGACCAGCCTTATGCAACCCCATCCCTTAATGTGAAGTCTTACATCATACTAAAGGTCTGACTGGAAACCAATTAGAAATGGGTTTTTTAAAACTATAATTGTTATTAAACAAGTACTTCAACTGTCTCCTTGTTTGAAAGGCAGCGAACAAAATGCTCAGGTCTCAGGAATTAACTTGACAAGCCAACCAGAAGTTCACTGTGTATCTGGGAACTTCAACAGGGTTAAAAGGCACGCAACAAAGTTTAAATATTCCTAAACAGGAAAATACTCTTCAATTTGAATGCATTATAAGGATTTTAACCATCTTTTTATAATAGTTATGGTTTTTAGACTCATCACATGGCTTATTCTCAGCATCCACACCATACTTGGGCAATATCCAACATAGTATGACCATTAGTGTAAATTATGTTACACTAGCACCAAGTCAGTAGTATTAACTGGCATGCCAGGCACCAATGAATGCTATGGGCCTTGTGCTAGAGCAGTTTATGCTCGTGAAAAATAATTTACATTCTCTAAGAAATTATTTGTAAGTTAATGTTCACTCTTTTGGGTGTTGCCCATTACCCTCACATGAATGCTAGAAGTTGCCCAAGTAACCTTATAAATTTATACAAATGGTCACCCTAACTGTAAAGATATTTTATAGACACAAGTAGTTAGGTAGATGATACATAATCAAGTCATGCCATATTATCTGCATCAACTACTATTAAGCAAATTATTTACAAAGTACATTCAGCAATTTATCAAAGTTTAAGTACTAAGAAAAAAGGTATTTATATGACTACTTTGCATATTTCAAGTTGAATACTGACAAGCAAATTAATGTGTAAATAATGCAAAATTTACTGATTATTATAAATGTACATGCTTTCCATGCCCAAGGGCATACAAATTTAAGTCCTAAATAGTCTACTTTTAAAAACATTTTTTTCTGATTTAAAAGTGAAATCTGCATGGTGCTTCAGTGTTTTAAATTATGTGACAGAAGATGAAAGAGGATATTTAGTTCAACAATCTGCAATAATGCCAACAGCAATGATGTTTGGACAGGTCCAGCAGAGGCCTGAAAGCAAAATCCCTTCCCATCCCATCTCCCCTTATGCACCACAATGTAGGCCAACACAAGGCTGGGGCTGTACAGGATTTGTCTATTCTTCCTGAAAATGTATCATTTTAAGTAAAACCTTCAAAACAAGCACCTGCCACAAAAGAGGCAGGGAGTTAGCTTAAAGATGGCAAAACAAACCACACGAAGTATCAGGCCCCAGACATCATTATCTTACAGTACCTAATACTTTGAAACGTTCAAGAGAAACAGGCACACTGTAACAAAAGGCATTAATGTTATAATATAGATCGTTCCTGTTGAGCATGGCTGCATTATACCTAAGGTATACAAATTGCTAATGTCTTCATTGCAATGTTGAGTCGACTAACACGAGTTTATGGCAACTGCATCAGCTTCAGTGTTTATTCTTGACACCCCTGCGTGTTGAGAGAGGCGAAGTTGAGGAAACAGGCGTGTGCACAGGATTGATTTTTATGGATCCTGTTCTATGCAGATAAAGGAATATGTGGGGGGGATCCTTATTTTGCACTCAGGGCTGCATGCAAAGTATTTCTTTCTCACCTGGGGCTGTGGGAAAGCTGCCACAATATGGACAGAATTACATTATGACATCAGCCACCTATTTCAAAGATGCATGACCTGCGGTCCTCTCCAGGGTTGCCCTCACCCCAGAGATACCACATTCTTCCACTTTGTCCCACAGACAGCTTCATAAGGATCATTCTTGCCCCAGTGCTGCTAGGATGAAGGAAAGTATGATCCCTATCACATTCTCTGGAAGAGGGAAGGCATTTACTTCTTCCCCAAGAGATCCATAGGCAGATTGTTGGAATACGTGTGCACATGTGACTGGATGAGCACACATCTATGTGGCCCGACAGCCACATTACATTCAGCTCTTGGGACCAAAAAAACTGTGTACCTTTGAGCTATAGCAGGAAAAATTCTATCCTTCCTCTCCAAAGCCCCCAAGTTATGAGCACTACCAAAGCTGGAAGCACTGATCACTTTTTTGGCAGGAAACTACTGGCCAGCAGCATGACTATGTATCAGAACCTCTAGAATTAACCCTTAACTAAACACACAGATGTTAGAATTCATCACTAAAACAACTCATAGCATTTGGTATTGCTTCCTCCTGGACTTTGATATATTCAAAGTGAAACAGAGAACACTTCTATAATTATTTTCTGAAAATAAAACCCTTTCCAAGCTATCCAAGATGTGATCAAAGTTGTGTTTCACCTACTGCAAGTACTTGAAGTAAAAATGTGAACTCTGAAAAAAGCAGTATGTGTAATGGTCTTAAACACAACAGCACAAATAGCAAATACTTTACACCTGCACTATTTTTTTACAAAGAGAAACAAAAAATAAACTGAGATTGGAGTCCTTCTATTCACAAATCCAACACATGTAAGGTTACCAGTTTAATGTAAAATTGTTCATATAAAAATAGTATGCACGCTGAGCCCTAGATATTTAACCAAGATTGTTTAAGGACATAAAACAATGGATAACTTATTTATATGCTTGTGCAATTGTCCCATAAAGCATGACAAATACTGTTTGGACCCGTACATGTACAGCCATCCAGTGACTAGTTACACTTCTTAAAAACAAAGAACATGTTCCAACATTTTCAAAATGAAAGAAGGGTTTATGACTCCAGTGCCCACCTCATTGCCAGCAACAGGAATGGTTACAGAAGCAAAATAAACATTTTGATCAGTATGTGTGCATAATTTTCTGATTCTTTTGCCCATGTTATGAGACAGCTGGGCCAAGACACCACTGAAAAAGTGTATATATATTTTAGGTTTATTATATATAAATTCATGGAATGTTAGAAACCTCTCCAAAAATATTAACAATATACAGACTTATGGTGACAAGGTCTCATAAGTAAATGAATAATTCAATGTTGATTATAGCTCATAAAAGACTCAATATGGATGTTTAAAAGTAATATTCTGAAGAAGAGCTCATCATCCAAAGGAACTGTACACTTCAGCCTGTAGAGCTTCACGTCGTATTAATTGCCTTTGAAAACAACTATTCTCCTAAACTACTGATATTCTAACATTTCTTAGAAACAGAACAATTGCTGCTGGCAAAGAATTATTACAGAAATACTGTGGAGCTATTACACAATAACATGTAAACAGAATCAGTATTGTAGATACATGCATCAACAGGAAACTAGGGTTAACGTTTAACAATGACCTTGCAGCATGAGATTTGTTTGTCAAAAAAGTTAACATTCTGATTGTAAACATTTTATATGGATGTACATCAACTTTAAGGGGACAACAGCTTGATCCTACACACGTTTACTCAGAGTAAACCCCATGAATTTGGTGGGGTTTACACCCAGGAAAGTGAGCATAAGATTGCAGGCTTACATTCACACTGTGCGATTAAGAGCAGGCACATCTTTAAAGGGGCCTTATCTCCTTTACCTGGGTGCAGAACACGTATTACAAGATACACTAAAGAAATTCTTCAAAATAACTTTTAACCTTTTGAAAACAAGTATCCTCATATTTCACCATGGTTTTCTGTAATGTACACATTACAGAGTTCCAATTTTTTTTAAACAAACAACTAGATGTGTTCTGCTTGCCTGTACCGTTTATCACCTGTTTGCTCAGAAAAATTTAGAATGTATATTGTGACACAAAACCAACCAAAATACTTAAGTGTAGCAGCATAAAACTTAAGTTTTGGCACAACACATTTTTTTAAGTTAAGGCCCACTGTGAAGGGAAAGTGAATATGCAGAGTGCCATTTGAGAAAGCTGCACTCAAAAGTTGAAAAATACTTCTCACATGTCATTAGGTACCATTAAGACCTATAACCAGACATAGTACCTGTTTTATTAGCCTGAATCTTTGACCAAGCTTCTAGATATGTATATAAATTGCAGTTAAAATTCATAAGCTATACAAATATTGCACCACCAATGTTGCAGGAATGTGCACTGAATAATTTACTGAAATATTTATTTCAGTTTCAGTTTTTAGTATCTTCCTAATGAGCCATAGGATCTGTTATGTAGGAAAAGCTATATTATCTTGAACAGTATGAATACAACTGATTTCCATTTATGTTTTCAAGAAGTGAAACCTACTGTACACTTTAATATATCATACCTTTCAACCAGAAAGTTGTCGTATTCAATGTGAAATAAATGCATGGGGTAATGGTTTGATTTCTGTGCCACCAGAGGTCTCATGTACCGATAACAATAATTCATTTTAACAGCAGTATCCACTATAATGTGGGATCCAATGCGTGCAACATCTGCTAAAGCACTGGTAAAACATCTCTACAGCCAGCTGTGTTCCTTACAAACTTGAGGTGAACAACTGTGTCAGACCGGGATTTCTCTGTATAGCAGTGTCAAGGTATGCTGCAGTTGCTAAATGGGCTTCTGTTTTTCTTGGTCCTTTGTTTGTTTGGCCTAAGGTTGATGACATCACCACCATTAAGCAAGTTTGAATTCTGGCCAGAATGACTTCCACCTGCTGTGTTGAAGACACCTATATGAAATTAAAATACATTTATGTATTACTAGCCATCTCTGAAGCATAGTACAAAGTGATTTAAATATTTTATTTTAATGGTTTAATTGGCAGTAGGCTTGGAACTGTTAATATACTGTATAGCTTTATGTTTTTCATTTTGGAAAATACGTCTCTGCTTCCTGATCTGGCAATGAATGCTACAAGCTTAGATGCAAAACCCAGTTTATGTAAGCTGATGCCACTGTCAAGTTAATTTTCCATGAGAAGCCTGAGTAACTGGACATTGGCATTCATCCACCCTCATCAGTTGGCAACTAAACAAAAGCCAACAGGCATTGCTTTTGGATAGAAGAAATGGTAAAGGCTGGGGGTGGAAGACATGAGGGCTTTGAAATAAAAAGAAGAAGAACTGAACTGACTATGAGGTGCTTTAAGGAACAACTATGTGCAAAACTTTAGTATACTTCTAGAAAAGACAATTTACAAAGCTCTTTTCATCAAGTGCAAATTTCTTTTCATAAAACAAGCTTCTTATAGATTTTCACCAGCATATTGAATACTAATAGAAATTACATCTTTTCATTCTGACAATGGAAGCATTTGCACATCATGACAACATACCCTACCAATAAGCTACACTAGGTGGGTTGCTCATGAAGCAGTTCATGAGAGCCCAACAGATGACTGTGCTCACTGTGGACTGTTCCCCCCACGCCATTTCCCTCTCTGTTCTCCTGAACGCATTACCAGGTGATCCTATGACAGGACCTGTCTGGACCTCCTGCCACAATTACAAGCCATTTTGTCCTTTGCTGTGGCTTTTTTGCCCCTTCCGCCCCCCTCCCTCCCTCCCTCGAGATCACGAAAAGCAAGTTCTGATTTGACTTGCCTGAAGTTCTGTTGCCCTAGTCCTGGTGCCTCTGTTGCTCTTGTCTTGTCTCTGGCCAACCATGTCCCAACCATGGACCCTAACAGTTTGCTGAGGCCATCCTTGTCTACACCCCAATCAGAACTTCCACAGATTTGGACAGAGGGCCAAGGCACCACATACAAACTCATGTTTGTTTGTTCGTTCTTTCGTTCATTCTCATTTATTTAGTTAGTTTGTTAGCTAGTTGGAGTTTTTGTATGCCGTCCCATTTGCATAAACCTCGGGACGGCTTCCAACAGCCTCGGGACGGCTTCCAACAGCTCTTGGCTGCATGTGATGGACAGTTCTTGGCTGCATGTGATGGTAACCAAGAAGCAGCAGCAATGAATTCTGAGGTATTATATATCTGCCTATCCTGCTAATGCCCAGCAATGGGGATACAGGTCATATGGCAGTGTTTCCGGGTATTCTGAACCCCTCATGTTGTTTTGTCAGGCCTTTCTGGTGGCCAACTGTCCAGCCAGATGTCAGGAGATATTTCAAGCCCTGCAGCATGTCAGCTAAAGCTAAACCTGTGGCCACTGCCAGTTCCTGGTCCAACTGATGCTGCCAAAGACCAAGCCTTCATACACCCTACCCTAACAACCCAGACCTTGAGTGATGCAGGTTCCTGCCCCTCTGTGTTTCCTTGCTATTGTGCCTGCCTCTTGCCTGACTGTTGCTGCATCTCTCTCCTGCCCAGTTATCTTGTCCAAGGTAGCTGCACCTCTGCTTGTCCTCCTGGTTCTCGACCTTTGGCTCGTTCCTGACAGTGTCCTTGTTCTGCTGTCATGCAGTCCTGTGATTCCTGACCTAAGCCTGTATCATGACTATGGTTTAGACTTGTCATTACACCCTGCTTTTGGACTCTGTCTTGCCTGATGCCCTGGTGCCTCTGTTGCTCCCGTCTTGTCCTGTCTCTGGCTGCCCACGACCTGGCCACCGAGCCTGACACTGCCCTAGGTGAGCTTAGCAAGAGCAACAAGGGGGGTTTGCCACTCTTGTCAAACAGCTCCCTAGCTGCTTCCTTGTTACCCATGATGGCAACACTTGTCCAAGTGTGAAGGACACAACAATCCATCATGGTACAACAACCCCTACAATAAGCCATCCTTATCAGGATGGGTTGTTCTTTGTGGACAACAAGCTGCCATGTAGGAAATGATCGGGATTCACATAAGACAGCAACCAACAGGCTTGTCAGCTATGCTAGATTGTTATGTTGTGCAAATCCAGTAAATGTGTAAGAAATCATGCCTTCCCCATTGATTTCTTAACCTCTGTGTACAAAATTTTAAGAGATGAGTCTAACAAGGTCTACACAGGTTCATTAGTACCCTAACATGGCACTCCATCATATATCTATCGCTATCATATTTTACAAAAAGAAAATAATACATATCTTCTGTACCAATCTGGCAATTTACTGTTTTACTTCCACTTTCACTGAGGTACATGTGAAACAGAAAAAGGCAACCCACAGTTAACAGCAATACTGAACACTGCAATTTATTGCTGCATACATACCAATTCTGTTACTACTTGTGTGTACTATTTCTGGATCTTCAATTATCCGTTGTTTGAGTTTTTGCAGATACTTCTCAGCTAAATACTTAAAAACTACAAGATACAGAAAGCAACATTAGGGCTTTAAGAAAAATTATACACACAAATTTTAATATTCATGCCAGGAGCATCACCAAGTGCTACAAATTCTGGTCTAATTTTTAAGTGATGAAGCTGCTATAAAAATGGGTTTCATGCATATGCAGGTTGTACAAAGACTATAAAGCAGTAGTCATTTTACTGGGTCCTAGCTCTTACTGGTAAGTAAGTCTCTGCTCCTCCATCTGAGAGAGAGTCGCTGGACACAGAAAATTAGCCATCAGGGCAAGAACAGAAATAGATTTTATCAAACAACTGGGAACTAATGCTGACAAAGAAGAAAAATTAACAACTAGCATGTGGATAAGTTATAATTCCAGATTAGCAGTCTCTTACCTTCTGTTACATTTAAATCCTCCTTTACAGAAGCTCGATAGAACCTTAATTTTAATTTTTTTGCCAATGCTTCTGCTTCTTCACTATTCGTCAGAGAGAAAAATAAAATTATGTTGGACATTAGCTGATTTCCATTAGAACAGATAGAATTCACTTAATAATCTTCATGAAAGTAGACTAATTTCTGAAAGTTAACTGCATCTAAGAGCAGTGGAAGTGAATACTACTGAAAGCAGAGATGTGGGTGGTAGTCTTTAAGTATGTTAAACAGTATATAAATTTATTCAGAAAAAATAAAATAAAATAACTTGTTAGAAGAAAACAGGGGATGGAGCTAAAATGGATGGCAGGCTAGCAGATATAAAACACAGTCTGTTAAAAACCAAAATAATATTTTAATAACATAAAAAAACAGCACACATACAAGAAACTCTCTCCGGGAACCCTCCGTGAAGGAAATTAGGAGGGTAAGTACTCGGAGGAGGGCTTTCTCTGCAGTGGCACCCAATCTATGGAATGCGCTCCCCAGAGAGGTCCGCCTGGCGCCATTGTTATTTGTTTTTCGGCGCCAGGAGAAGACCTTTTTATTCAAACGTTATTTTAATTGTTAATATTATTTATTCATTTTATTCTTTGGCCAGGGCGACTTAATTTATATTGTTAATTTACAATGTTTTATTGGATTCTATTTATTTATGGTTGTGAGCCGCCCCGAGGCTTCGGTGAATGGGGCGGCATAGAAGTCTCCTAAATAAATAAAATAAATAAATAAATGAGAGAAACAAAAGCAGGCCAATTATGCATAGGCATAAAAAAGGAAAAGTGTAGCCTTCTAACATATGCCAACCTTGGTGCAATACTGCCTTATTTAATTTAGATTCCAGTCCGCAATAAACTACTCGGAAGTCAGTCACACTGGTTTCAGTAAGACTCATGGCCTGACTGATAGTGCCAGACCCATGTCTTGAAATGCAGATTTGTCCTCTGCATGCAGAAAGTGGGAATGAAGTGTGATTTAAAGCAGACTAGAGGCATGGGGTGGGGGTGCTGAATGCTTCTGTCCAACCTTCCCCTACCCTAGTGCTGCCCCAGGCTCACTTCAGGCTCACTTCTAGTACCAAAAAAGAGTTCCCTGGACAAATGGGAGAGGAAAAGCAGCGAGCAGGGGAGTTTCTGACACTCCCTTTTTATATGACCCTTTAGATCACACTTACTATGCAGACTCCTCTCAATATCCTTGCTCATCTATGACATATAAAACCACATTTAAAAACTAAAGTCATCCCATTACATGCTGTTTGAACTTCAATTGCTTGTACTATATGTATTGCGTTTTGTTGTTTTTATAACCTATTGTGAACCACCCAGAGTTTTGGCTATGAGTGGTACAGAAATGTAATTGATGATAATGATGATGACAACAACAATGATGACAACTGGGGTGAAGATATCCTAAGCAACATCTCTACTGGCTAAAGCCGAGGTGTTGAACCTTGGGTATATAGGCCAAATCTGGCCTGCCTGAGGTCCTCAACAAACCCTCTCTCCCCCATCAACTCTTCATGGCCTTTGCACATTTTTCCCATTCTAAAAGGTCACAATGCCCCTCCAAAGGCTACATTACTGACAATAAGAAATTTATGCTAAAATGTGCACATATTTTTGGTATCTTAGTGCAACAACCACTGGAATTCCTCCTTGAAATTAAACTTAGCTCTCAGGTTGAAGGAAGTTCAAGACCCCTGATCTAAAGTGTAAGTTGTGCCGAGGTATTGGGACAAATGTATGTCTTCCTTTTACATTTAGGGATTCTAATGACAATTATAAAGTCACTTAAATGATTGGAGAACTGATTTCATAAAGTATGGTAACATCACCTACTTTTTTATACAGGAATAATCTAGGAGGTCAATCTTATTCTGAACAAGCACTGTAGGAATGTCACCAACTTCGGATACTACTTTCTCTTTCCAGGTAGGGATTGCGTCAAAAGATTCTCTATCAATGGTTGAAAACACAAGCACACAAGCTTGGGCTCCTGAAAAACAGAATACTAGTTACTAAAGAGTTGATTTAACTACATCAAACCTATCAAATATCTAAAACAGGTCTCATTCTCCTATATTATTCTAGCACAATACTTATTTCTATTTCTGTTCCAATTTTCTCCCATTGTAGAACTCAGGGTGGCTACATGCTGTTCCCACGTGATCTCTCCTCCATCTCAGACCAGTCTCAAACCTGCTTAGCTTCAACATGGTGGATACCTTATGTGCTTCCAGACCATATTCTGGGCCTTCACAATATAAATTACACATTATTTTGCAGAGGCTTTGTATTCCATCTGAGGATAAATATGAGAAACTGAGGCTCCTATGAAAACTTTGTTTTTAAGTTATCCAGTTCAGAAACCTGCTGAATCTCCACCCCGCTGCCCCTCAACAGTCAGAGAGAAAACATTTAGACATTTTCTGTGCTCAAGTTTAGCTGCTCAGGAAGCTTCAAATACCTTAATAGCTTATGGACTACAGCCCCTATTTTGGTAAGGTTTTTTTTTAATCAGCCGTAGAGTAGGATGCAAACTTTTTTGTTGGCTTTAAACTCATCAACAGCCTTTTAAATTTCGAAGTCTGATGCCTATAATGTCGCCCTTCAAGTTTAAGGAGAAATTACTCTTTCACATTTAATCATCCACGTTAGGATATTGTCTGGTAATAATGTTTTAAATTATCTGAATACACAAGAAAAAGCAAAAAGGGTAGTTTTGCAAACACTATACAGAAACCTTTTTTCTTGTTGTTGCTGACTCTGCATGAAACACATGGAGAACAATCAGGTAACTTATCTGGGGATCTCCTGCCATGTTAAATCCACTAGAAGGACTTCTAGTCTTTCTACATACCTCAGGCCATTTGGGATGCAGAACAAAAGGGGATCTTGGCTTTCACAATCAATCCTGAATTTGTTTATACTACAGTTTAAAGAGAATTATGTAATGAGCTCCTTATCGGGATTCAAATACTTGGTACTGAACAATAACATTCAATGTTTTCTATTATAAGAACTGGCTACTTCTGGCATTCTATCCAGTTCCCCACTGCTAACAAGGAATGAAAGGTAATGTTACACTGATAAGCATTCTAACTGAATTTTGAACAGTCACTGAGCAGGAAGAAACCTTGAGTACTTAGGGTAACCTAACACCCCATGCCTCAGCAGAGGTTCTTTGAATATTAGGCTCTGAGAATGGCATTGTAAGAAATATCTGCAAAGTCACACTTGAGATATATATCAGTGTATCAATTCTCTCTCACTTAGTGGGAAGATCAGTTATTAAAACAATAGGCATATCTGTCATTTCACTAATGCAAATTATGTTGCACTACCATAAAGGACCTTTAGCGCAACGCCAATAGCACTTACTTGTGCAACAGTTTCCTGGAAAATCCCCTTGCTCAAGCTAATGCTGTTAGTCCCTTACGTTTATACAACATTATTTTTTAACAGAATGACACCACAGGTTACTGTCCAATCTAAGTAATGCTATACTGATATTCATGTGGCTGAATAAATTTAAGGCAGCATCAGAACTCAATTAAAAAAACCAAGAGGGAGAGTGCATTAAAGGGAATTGTAATATTGTATGTCTACAGAAATGCAGCAGGCTTATACATTTTACACATTATATTTTTATTGGTGATGGTGGTTCTTCTTTTTTGCATTTATATCCCATCATTTTTCTTCTTGCAAGGAACCCAAAGAAGCTTTTATGACCCGCCTCCTCTCCAGTGTGTCCTCACAACCACCTTGTGAGGTAGATTATGCTGAGAATCTGTGACTGCCCAAAGCCAATCAAAGAACAGGGCCAACTGGGGCCTAGAACCTGGATCTCCCAAGTCCCAGTCCAACCCTATAGCCATTATATCACACCGGCATATTGTTCTGGGCGAATTAGCCATTCAGAACCACATTCGACATAAGAAAAGATAAGAATGATGGGATATTTATCTCGTAAGTTATATATTCAGCAGAACACAATCTAAGGAAGCTGAGCTAGGGAATGACTATTATGTAAAATCTTAAACAAGTACTATTGAGATTATTTCACTATCAACAGAGCAGAACTACAAGGATCCTTCTTAGGTTATCACTCAATTTCTCCAGAAAAGCTAATGTACCTAGCTAGTTTCTGTACCAGCAGTTCTTCAGAGAAAGATCAGGAAGAACAAAAAGGTCACCAACAGTTTGTTAGCCAATGAAACTCATGGCATTACTCACACTGAAGACACATTCAAATATTATGGACTCCAGAATGCAGTTGCTGCATGGTGGCAATTTTACACAGAGTCTGCAATATTTATTACTTGCTATCACAATTAGACTGGCTCCACTCTATGAAATAACTCCACATCAGCACTGATGACAGCTACTGGGACTGAGAAACTCTCCAAACTATTCACATGGTAGTAAGTTACAAGCATTGTGGGTTCCACATCAAAACTATTGCCACATGCTATTTTAATGCCCTTTACATTGGAAATAATGTTTGAACTGATAGAAGAAACTTTATTTTGAGGTCAAAGGCAATAAATGGATAGATCTTTTACAAACACTTTGCAAACATTTCGATACAACTAGCTTACAGCAGGTGTAGAATTCTTCTCCGAAAATATCACTTTCTAAAAATCCAATTTAAAATGTTTTAATTGTGTTTCTATTAATATATTTTAAATATTTTCCTCAATATTACAAAAGAAGATATGAAACACAACTTCTAGGGTATATTTAAAACTAAGATAGAAAACATCTAACCAGGACATATAGAAATAATTTGTTTTCACCATAACTTACTAAAACAAAGGCAAAGGTTCTTTGACATATACTGAATGTTATTATTAGGAAGTTGTTGCCATCAATAAGTGTTTATAGTGTAGAAGTATGATAAGTTAGCTTCACATACGTTAGTAATTCTGTTTACCTCTGTAATAAGCTTTAGTAATAGCATCAAATTCTTCTTGACCTGCTGTGTCCCACAGCATCAGTCGGACATCTTCATCATTGACTCTAAAAATCAACCAGTCAATTGATATTATGCATCATTAATAGGTTTAAACACCAAAGCATGTTTTAAATTCAAGTGCTGCTTTATACTTGAAATAAAAACTTAGTGCTTTTTTGTTAGTAATTTTCTATTTCAAGCATGTATGTTGCATCCCACTTCTTTTCAGGCAATCCTAAATGTGATCTTTTCAGTGGGTTGTATCCAATGATGCCATTACCTCACAAAAGTTGGGGCATCCCATTTTGTTTGATTCCTCCTAACCATTTAATCCTCTCACTGTTTGTGAGGGTTGAAGGACCCTCCCCAATATAATGGGGTTCCTGAGGGCTGGGGCTGTCAACAATGGAAGTGGCTATTGTGCACAAGGTTGTAGTAGTCAGAGAGGACTGGAAATAAAGGTCTCCCAACTTGTGCTACCATGTTCTCTATGTGCCACACAGATCCTTCTCTTTGCATGGTTTCCTATTAGGAACGGTGCATAGTGTGCAGAGATGCCTAATTCAGAGAAATGAAAAATGGGTTTGGAGTGGATGATGTCAAAGGAGTTCCCCTATACCACTGGACCTGCTGGATTGATTCCAGGGGGTAGGCAGAAAATGGTTCCCGGCAGCTGTGCTACAGGAAAGCACCATTTCATAACACTCAGTGGATTCGTGTAAAGACAGTTCTATTTGGCACAAGTATTCTTCGCTTAGCTGACAAATCCTAAGGTTCTATCCTATCCTTAGTATCCTTACAAGGCAAGTTAAACTGAGAAAATACGACTTCCCCAAGGTTTTGCAGCTGAGTGAGAATCAGATCCCAAGTCTCCTGAGTCCTAATCCATTACTCCCAAGTAGTATAACCACACTAGATATAATTAAGTTTAACTTAATTTGAAATGAGCCCATTCCACTTCTTTTTCTCCCCTTCCCTGGAAAAAATGACCTGATTACTGAATAGCAGCAAAGAGGACAACATTTAACATTTCAGTTTACTTTTAATTGGAATATTCATGTCTCCTGCATAAACTGGTGTTATTCGTTGTCTGAAATATTTCCCATTTGTTTCCACAATTATAACCATGCTATTTCATCTTGCCACTAGTGGCAAAGTAGCCCTTTCCTTCTTCATATACAGAAGGTAAGCATTTTTGCATTGATTATTTGAGTTGGTAAATCGGGCACTTATGTGGGAAGACAACTGAATACAGTTAGCATATAAATGCCTTAGTTTCACTTCTATGAACAAATAACAGTGTCACATTTTCTATGAGACATGTGTTCAGCACTGACAAAAGCATGACATACACAGGATACAACACACCCAACCAAATAGCAAAGGAGAGTTCTGCTCCAACCCCGATCTGTTAAATACATACTGCATTTCTCTTTCCAAGAAATCAACTCCAATAGTTTTCTTGTAGTCTTTTGTAAAAATTCCTTTGCAATATCTCTGGATCATACTGGATTTTCCAACAGCTCCATTTCCAACCACCACCACTTTGATGGCAACTTCCATATCTTCCTCCAACATCTTGGAAGGCTTCCAGTTACTTCACAATTTCAGCTGAGATCTTCCTGATTCTGTAACTCAACGGGGGAAAAAATGATGGGTGTGTGGATCAAGGAGACAGAGTTCTAGTTTTTCCACAATCTTATTACATGACTCTGGAGCGTTAATGTGAAAGCCTTACACACATACTTAAGTGTCACTGAACACAGCGAGATCTGCTTCTGCATAAATATGAACACGCAGATAGTGCATATTAATGCCGTCATTGCTTTCTCATGCCAGTCCAAGGATTCCTACAAAGTGGACTCCTACAACTGGGTGGAAAGAAAGGGTCAACAGAAGCTCGTGCAGCTACTACCCCATTGATTATGAGAAGTCCAATTGAGCATCAAGTTTCCTTGGGCAGTATTGCTGGAGCACAGCCACATGTTTGAATCTGGGGTGTTAAAGGTGAGTAGAGTCTCTTTCCTGCGTCGAGTAACATTCTTGGGAATTATTAGCATTGGAATTTACACAGCAACTCTGAGTATCATACTTTGTCTGATAATGCAACTCAGCATTTATGAAGGAGGCTTTAGTGTTTGAAACAGTTCAATAATTCAGCACACTGGGAATGAAAGAGGCAGTTGCTCTTGGTGCACGTTTCAGGACAGAGTGACAGACTCTTCGGATAAGGCAGTGAGGCCTAGGAAAGGAGATCTGCAGAAAGAGGTAGCAGAGGAGGAAGAGCTTATCCCCAGGTGTTCAGGCAGACAGTGGGAACCAAACAGTCTGAAAGTGCTAGAAGGGGACATGGGAAAGGAACCAGAGGAGTCTGCTCCAATCCTTGCCCCCATGACATGGCATCAGGAAAGAAGGGCTAGCCAACTAGAAGGCCTCTGTACAAGCTGGAGGCTTGCCTGTCTCCAGAGAGGCACTCCCAGATGGGTGGAGCCCAGGGTTTCTCAAAAGGAAGGTTCTTGGAAATAATTTCTAGTTTGGGTTCAACAAACTACTCTGTGCATGTTCAGAGATTTTTCTTTGCTGGCTGTAACTTGCTGGATGAACACTGGAAATAAATAACTTTTGCCAAAGAACTGCCCATTGTACAAAGGGAAAAGTCAAGCGGGGGTGGGGGCGGGAATCTAGCTCCTGACACAGCTATTCTCAGCGTAACTCTGTATGACAAATCTGTATCATTATTCCATTAAGGAATAATGATAAGGAGTACAGAATAGTAGAACAAGGAAAGATTAAGGTCAACCAGTGAGTCTGTGGCAGAAGCTTCCTTATGTACAATATTGCAATCCTACATGCATCCGTATCTATGTTCATTCAGAACTCAGTCCCACTGTGTTCAGCAGGGCTTAATCCCAGTTAACATATACACAGTACTTCTGCCACTACCATGCATCACCTCCTGGGATCACTTATTGTCATATTCTGCAGTTCACTTTCTGAGAACAACATACAAGTTAGCACATTTTTAAAAGTATGAGTGCAATATATAATGCTAAAGAGATAGATAGATAGAATATATATATAATGTGAAAACATAGAGAGTCTTCACATGAAGCCATTATGAAGGGGACTTATATGCACAACACATACTTAATAAACAATTTATGAACTATTTCCACCAATACATTCTAAGACTAAATTCTAATATAGGCTCAAATTCTCTCAACCTGTAATCAACTGTAGAACTCCAAGTTTTTGAACCTATTAGTCTTGTATATCATAACATACATGATCTATAGTGCATAACGGAGAAATGTGCCTTGTACCACATCTGTCTAGCCCTATTCAGGCATTCTACATCCAGAATAGTGAAAAAATGAGGAGAGCCAAGTGCTAACCCTGCCTTCTCTATTTCTGGAAGTCAACTTTGTGAGTATTCAAGAGGCTCTGCACATAATCAAAAACACAGAAAGTTGTGTTCTCAGTCCCATGGAGAGCCTGTATGGATATAGGAGAATACAGATTCTTCAGAGCTGTCCTCCACCAGTAGGGGGTGACAAAGTAGGGAAAGGGCACAGCATGCTCACCCTCCTCATGGGTTCAGTACTTCTGTGTACAGAATGCAGAATAGGGCTTTGGTTTTTTCCCCATGGTATCAGGTCCTGGGGACGAAGTAGACTCAAACTGTCAGCATACACATAGTTTGAACCCATATGTTTCTGATACAGCCAGGGTCAATTACTGCCCATGGTTTTCACAAGGTTGCACATGGAGGAAGGACTTTTTAATATTTGTATACATGTATTTATAGGCTGCCTATAATTGCCAAGGCCTTCAGTTACAATAATAAATGAAACTAACAGTTAAGACATTTGCTAAAAGTATTGTGAATTGTGGCAAAATTCACTTTACATATATGGCTTCTTCTCTATATCATGAGTGATTTCTTCTGTAACAGTATGACAAAGCATTCGGTTGCAGAATTATTTAAAAGGAAGGCAAAATCTGAAAAACAGATTAGGAAGTAGCCTGTGCAAGAACTAAACATCAATGTAAGTATAGTCCAGAGTCTAATTTTGATACAAGCTCACAGTAATGTGCAGCATCTTACAGTCACACATGATCATACTTCAATAATTTGCATGCTTTCTGCTCTTAATCTTGCCCAAAGTTGTAATTTTTCCAGACACTGTCAGCCTGTTCAATAGCATCTTTCCAAAAATACACCCAGGTTTAATTCAGATGTGAGTACAGCCTCTCTCCTTTGAGGATACAGCCTCATTCCATTCAGTATGATCTGTTGCCTCTTCCCTTCCCCACCCTGTGCAATATTCATCCAGCATCAAGTTCATTCCCATAAATCAAATGTGTTCCCATAACCACCACTGCACAAAAAAGTCAACTATTTTTTACATTATACACTTTGGCTGCCTTGTGAAACCGCCTCAAACATCCCACCCTTCATATAATTAGGGCAGCATTTCTTAATGCTGGTCTTACCAAAGCTCCCTAGGTCAATCATTGTTGCAACTTCAATACTTACAGGGAAAAGTCAAGTCTATCTACATGTTATACAGTTCATCAGAGTTGGAGAAACTGAAAATACTTCCACACAGTGATGGCTCTACACAGGACTATAATGTATAGCACACTTTAGAGCATGAATCCACTGCCCACCTTACCATCAGGAATGTGTGGTACTTTCATCATGGCATTCCTTGCCATATGAGGAACCACACTGGTTAAGAGGCAATATGTAATATTCGCTGTACAGAAAAATCACCATGCAGAAAATGTATTGTGCATAGTATGTTTTCCAGACCTCAGATCACTTCCAAAGGGTTTTGTATGTTTTGCGCAGCAGACGTGGTATCCACAAGGCAATCAAAGACAGCCTCTATTCCGCTAATGTAGAATAAACATGCAGAGTGTAATCCAGGTCAGTGACTATACTATTCAACCCAGTGTAACATTGTGATTGCAGTATTGGACTGGTTCTAGCCCTAGTTGGCCAGGAAGCTCACTGGGTGACTTCTGACCAGTCACTCATTCTCAGGTCACAGGGGTGTTGTGAGGATGAAATGGTGAGAAGGACCATGCAAGCTACTGTGGATTCCTTGCAAGAGGAAAAAAGTGGGATATAAATGTAGTAATAAACTGATTAACTAACACTTTAACTAGCTGATATCTCTTGCCTAGAAATATTATCTATCCACAGTATTTACATACAATGTTCATGATAACTTATATCACCAGCAAAACCATCTACAGAACTGTTTGTGGCTGTTTTGACTATTCTGAGAAAAAATGGCAACATCTTGCCACTCCTAGTATAACAGATAAATACTTCAAATCAGAAGCCATTTTGTATATACTGGGTCATCCCAAGCCTTAACCTGTAAAGCAAGGTCTAAATACAGTCTAGACACACAGCTACAGGTTCAGGGGAAATGCATACCCCATCTGGACAAGCAGGATCCCATTTGTATACAGGTAAGTGCAGAACTTTTACCAACATATCTGAAAGTCTTATTCAGCAGTACAACACCCTAAGTTTTCCTTGCCAAAATGTCGATGCTGAACTCTCTGTGAAAAATATCAGCAATGGGGAGGCCCAAAATTTAATCTGATGGATGGTATAGCCTTGCACGAAGCACAACTAAAGTAACGGTGCCCCAGAGCATGAACTGAGTGTCGTTTCGTTACTACTTGAGCAACAACGCTCTTAAACTAGGGAGCTGAGCTTCTTGGTCAGTGCCAATGATCCTCAAGCAGGGCTTTTATATAAGAAGCACTGCTTGGGGAAACCCGGGCTGTGTGAGTGACAGGCGGGGGGAGAGAGGCGAGGTCGGAGGGCTGAAAGAGCATTTCCCCTGTGTTCATCCAGGGCACGGCCCGCGGCTTACCCGCTCCCCAGCCCCGGCTCCACTGCTCTTCTCCCAAGCCCGCCAGCTTCCCCCGCGACCCCACGTAGCCCAGCTCGCCCGCACAGGCCACTCGCTCCCCGCCGCGCAGTCCCACGGCGCCCCGCTCCCGCCCTGCAACGCAGCCCGCTTACGGCAGCCTCTCCCGGGCCACGCCGAACTGCAGACTGGTCCAGCCCTCTTCCAATCCCTGCGCCGCTTCGCGGGTTATGTACGCGTGTGAGGCGAGGGAGCGGCGCCTCCACGGCGACGGGCAGCCGGGAGAAGCGGAGCCGGCCCAACCCGGACGCACATCCCTGCTCCTCCCGCAGTAGCACCCGCTGGACTCCCGGAAACACCGTCAGGCCGCGGGGGGGACCCGCTTGAGAAGCCACCCTCCCCGGCTCGCCGCTTTCCTGCGGGAGCTCGCGGGGGCCAGGCAAGACTTGCTTACCGCCGCCACCGCCGCCTGCTTCTTCTCCTCTGTGGGGGCGGGAACAGCCTGGCGAGCCCGGGTGGGAGACTGGAAAAGGAGGAGGGATAATTGCAGGCGAGAGAAGCGCCACATGCGATGAGCAACCAACTAACCCTTCAGTCTGGAAGGTCCCTTCAGATTTTTCTTGCGCTGGATTCGCCGGAGGCAACCCAACCCAGGCTCCGAGACAAACTGAGGTCTTGCTCTGGAGAGCATCAGAGGCGTGCAAGCAGACCCACGGGCATATTTGTACTCTGATGTAAACCTGCTTCTTTGGCGGGACCGAGGGTGCAATCCGATGCCCACGTGCATCGGATTGCGTTATTGCTCCCAAGTGAGGGTGGATAGGGTTTGCAGCGCTCCAGGAATATTTGTTTGTGCTCTACTACCCGATCCTGATCATATTCTAGTCAAGGTTTCAACAGCGAAATTTTATGCTAGTCTACTCAGAAGTAAAACAACAAGCCCGTAGCACATTAAAGCTAATTAATGGCATTAACTTACTCAGAAATAGGTCCTCTTAAGTTCAATGGGGCTTACACCTAAATAGGTATATACAGGTTTGCTGCCTTAGGACATAATCCTATGCATATTTATACAGAAAAACAGGCCTTCAATTCCCAGCGTGCTCCAGTCAGCATATTTTGCAACTTTTCAGAGTCTAGGCTTTGCTCTAAGGCAGGTCTGTCAAACTTTTCGTACCTCAAGGCCTGTATGAGGACATCCACACAAAACCTGGGGGCCACATAATGAATTACATTTCCATATCATAACGTAAAATGTTAGTAATATAGTCATTTAATGTACACAATATATTTAGTTAACTATTAAATTAAATTTAGTTAACTATTAAATTAAAGGAAAAGACCAGGTTTTTCTCTGTGAGTTCAAAAGAAACAAACCCTTCCACGTGACCCCGGACCCCTCTGTCCTCCTTGGAATCGGAGGACTGAGCCAGTGAACTCTGCCCAGCCTGACCTGTGGCACGGAGCACGCTGGAGCGAGAGCTTACGTAGGAAGTTGCCAGCCTGACCTCCAGCCTTGGAGAGCTCCCTGCAGTCACGCATGTGCCATTGCTGGGATCTGGGCTGGGGTGGAAGATGAGGGCTCCAAGCAGCAAGAAGGCCACAGAACAAGGCCACGGGGGTGCATGTTGGACCACCCCGGTCTAAGGGAAAAGCATTAGGTGTTAAATTATAAAAGGGGGAAGAAGAATCACCTAGCTCCATGGCCTGATTATGAGTTCATATGTCCATTTCTCCTCTCCCATCCTCTTTTTTAACCATCAAAATTCATTTTGGAAAAATAAAGATACTGTCTTTACTATGCCATACTGTCACATAATCTGACAGCATGCTTATTATGTCCTCCTGGAGGTGAAAGTTGAGGGCATCACTTGAACAGGAAAAGAAAAGAGTGAGAAGAAATTGGTCAGATTTTCCCCTCAAAGATGTGTTCAGTTACAGTTCAAGTACAGTTCCTATCATTCATTGTCAAAGTATAAACTAACTGGAGCAAACAGGACTTTTAGACTTCGTGGAGATGGTTAAAGAAGACTTTTACTGGATTATCTCCTTTGTTTGCTGCTCCATTCTTCCAGCAAGTTAGTTCAGCTCTGGCCCAGCACCAGGGTGGATAAGACCACAGATTATCAAGTAACGTTTATGCTGCAGGGGAAAAAAAACTTCATTTTGAAGGAGTCAGAGAATCAAAATGGTCTGACAAGCCCATTGCCTTCTAACAGCTACAGAATATTGAGGGCTTTTAAAAGTTCAAGTGTGGGAGCAGGGAAGGAATACTGGCTTGTGTGTAAGCGTGGCAGAGTCAAGCCACTATCAGCTTATATTACCAGAGGCAGTTGGAATTAAGTCAGAGACAGACTCCACACCTTCCACAATGCTATATGAGTTCAAGGACTCTGGTGTACTTCCTCTGATCCTAAATCATCACATCTCCCAACCCAAGAATTATTTCAACTGCAAAGGAGGAAACTAGTCTTGCAGTGGGGTGGTAGAATGATGGACAAATTACACCAAGTATTCATCTTAGTTGCAAAAGCCATAATGTCTGGATCATGTTGTAAATGTGAGAGCTGTCTTTTAGTTGTCTTCAAACATGTGATTGACCACTGTGGTTTTTAAGCAGAAGATTGGAGCAACAATAATGTGTTACAATGTAACCTTAAATGGATATTGTGGAGACCACTGTATCCCACACCAGCCTGCCCATGCCAGGCAGGACCTTCTATGGAAGAGGTTCAGTTGACAGGAACAAATTAAAAGACCTTCTCTATGGCCACTCCCAAACTGTGGGATGCTTTGACCCAAAAGACCCAGCTGGCCCCCTCCCTTATAGCATTTCACCAGATGCCAAAACATTCCTATCCTGGCTGGTATTACAGAGATATGTTTCATTGGTTGCTTCTGTTTTATCTGCTGTACCTGTCCCCATTTTTATTATATTGTATTTCATGGATCTTTGGAATTTTATGGTAATGTATATTTGCTTTTAATCATTGTTATCCACCCCAAATGGTGTGTAAGCAACAGTGGGGCAGGACATACCAAATAAACCTCACTCTCTCATTTCAGGAAGCTGTTGGTAAGGTTTCATGGATTCAGAACTGTGCTTTGTGTAG